TCCTGAGGGGTGAGAGACAAAACTCTCGCACCCTGAATATGTGTCTTTTAAATTGATATTGATTTTTCTCTAACATTCAGAGTCGGTCTCATGCAAAACTTTATGGACTGTCCGTATTCTTTGGACGCGGCTAAAAATTTGGCCGAGCATCGCGGCAGCGATTACTTCAGTACTTCAGTTTCTCCGTCTTCCTATTTCATAAAACATTTATCGCATTCTGGTGGTTGTGCAGCGTAAGGAGTACCGACACCTGGGAAATAAAGTGGTGCCAGAACTTATTTACTGCAGTCAATTCGGAGGTCAGGAAAGCTCCAATTAGAATCGACGAAAACATTTTTCATGATTAAAATAGATTTTTAGCACTCTGATGTAAGAGGGGTGAAGTTTATCGGCGTAAATGATAGTTATTACCATGACAGCGGTAAGCATCTCGAAGCTGAGAGTGTATGAATGTGATGTTGTTTTCCTCCTCGCTGCTCTGCTCTGCTCACCTCGGTGTCCCTCCAGGAGCACGTCATCCGAGAGGACACCAGAAGTCTGACGCCTCGCCAATGTGCCGCCATGGACCTTGTGCTTCCCACAATCAAGGTAAGTTTTCTGCTGAGTTAAAAGAAAAAAGGTGGCACTGAAAGTCTGAAGATGACCTTTAAAAAGCAGCAAAGTAGATGCAAAAGAAACAAAAACAAAACCAAAAGTATGCAAATGAGTCAATCAGAATTATAGATGCAAGAAGCAGTTAATGTTTATGTAGAGCCTCAGATCCCATATGAATACATCCATCTAAAGGATGTAATAAAAACCTTCACAGTGACGGATCTTCGCACCTTCTAATAATGGGGGGGGGGGAAAGCAATTGCAACACTGGGTGGAAGGCAGATTGAAGGCTCAGCTCTATAGAGATAAAAAAGAAAGCTGTGGTGAAGTGCTCGCTGCATCATGAAAACTAATTGATTTTTACCATCACCATAGAAACTACCTGCAGGTTTAGATCAGTCACGTCATTGGGACTCTTTTTTTTTTTTTTTTCTCGCCAAATGAGAACGGCATCTGAGCTCTGGCAAATTAACGAGAACGATCTGATCACATAAATATCTCCAGGGGCTGCAGTATGCAATGTGACGCTGCATTCAACGCAAAATAGGAAGGATTCAATTCATTGAAAAAAAAAAAAAAAAACCTGTTGTAAATATTGGCGTTTATATATAATACACATATTTTCATGGTGTAATGAGACCAACCTTATGAGAAATCTGCAGAAAATATTAGCTTTAGTGGATCAACAACAACCAAAAAATAAATAAAACCATAAACCAAGTCGCTCACACACACTTTCATTCTCTCAGTGATTATGTCACTGGCAATATTTCATCCAGACTGACCTTTAAACCTGAAAAAAAAAAAGAAGAACTAATGGGGGGTAAAATGAATGAACGCACTCATAAAAGGCTCTATATGTGGCCCGTTTAACGGCGGCTCAATAATTCCTCCTTCATCTTCCTCTTTGAACTGTGACCTGAGAGTTGTTGTGGAGAAACGCTGACTCGGCTTTGAACTCCATCTCAGCCAACGCTGGACATCCGTGTGCGTCTCTTTAACGGCTGTTTCAGGTCGACCAGAACATTTTTTATTTATTTATTTATTTATTTATTTTTACTTTCCTTTTAATGCCCTTACATGCATTAAAAGGTTGAGTTAGCTCAGCCTTTTAATGCATGTTAACCGCTTCCTTCTATATCTGTGGGTGTTGATGGAATATAAGCAATTTCATTGGTTTTTAGTGTGTCACTTTGTACTGCCCCCTAGTGGTCCAAAGTCACATAGTCTCCAATCAGCAATACCTCAATAATTCCTTGCCAGTCCTTCTCCATGACGAATGAATAAGTTGTCTAACTGTTAGCTTAACATTTAGAGGTGTTAGTTTTATGTTGGAAAGCAATAAACAATTAAAATGGCCGCCACAAACCACTGGCTTGCATCAAAACTTTACTACTTTTGAAGATATTTCTGCAGCAGTCAATAAATGTTTTGGTAGTCAAGTGTTTTTTTTGTTGTTTTTTTGTTTTTATATACATCTTATTAAAAATGTCATCGAAAATCATTTATGCCCTCCTCCGATAATCAATAAAAGAAATCTTTCACAGCGATTAAGCCCTTGCGGTTATTGCTGATCAGCTTTGAGGTCAGGAGTCCTGCCTCCCCTCACCATGATCTTTAGCTTCCCTCCACAAACTATCACAGTCAAGTCAGGACCTCAGCTTGACAGGTCCAAAAAGTAAATCACATCACCTCCTGTCAGAAGAAACAAGTTGCTTTAAAGCTGTAATTTTGGGGTCCACATTTGTAGTTTCCAATACATTTTTTGTGTATATGGATGGATGGAGGAACTCACAGAGGTCTGGCATGAAAAGCAAAGAGTGGATGAAAAGTAGAGAAAACAGAGATGTGGGTTTTTTTTTGCTCTGTGTTTTTGCCAGAGGCAGGTTGATATTTTAGGCCAGTGACTTGTCTGCCTTTAAAGCCACAGGCAGAACCATGTCAGTTCCCAGCTGGGAAAAATGACACGTATTCCAATATGTAGCAATGCTTATCTTTAAAATGATTTTTTATTTATTTATTTTTCCTGTGCCAGTGATAAAACAGCAGCTTTTCATCGTTGGTTAAAACCGCAATAGACTGCAGAGGGGGGGAAACTCAGCTCAGAGACGAAGGCACGATTTCTGCAGACAGACGCTGGTTCTCCTTAGGATTTACCTTCATTGGTGTGGAGACATACTGAGCAAATCAAGTGAAACTTTATAGCACCGCCTAAAAGTAGAAAAGCCAAATTTATATGATGCAAGCAGACAACCAAGCCGAAAAAAAAGAAATCTTTTGAAATAATCCAACATGCATGAGCGTAGCTCCTATTAAATCCTCAGTCATGTTTTCCCTCCACCTCTGACTCATCCTTGCACGTAATATCATTTTGTAGTTAACATGTTGGTCTTATTTTATGACTCGTGAGGCGTTCATGGGTAAGAACACGGCGCCTCCTACTGTGCTGGAATAACAGGAGCCCTGACAGGACAGCAGGAAAAGAGATCAAATATTTACAGACATCTTGCCTGGGCTGGTGTTGCCATGTGTGATGAAGATGCAGCTCAGATGCTGGTTGCCAGGTTGACTTGATGGGTTTGTTGCTTTTTTTTTTTTTTTTTTTTTTTTTTTTTGGCCGGGGCCGGGGGGGGTGTGGGAATTTCGGTGTTTGGAAAAATTTTTTTTT